TTGATTCACATAGAGATATAGAATTTAATTAGTTAAATAGATTCAATGAGAATTCGAGATGGGTAAATTGAATACTATAGAAGAATTCAATCGAATACTACATTATGTCATAAATCTTGAATTAAGAATTAAGGTGATCAATAGATGAAATTGTTATGCCCTAATATTCAACACGTATTTGAATATTCAATTATCCATTATTTACAATTTTTTATATTTTCAATTAGTTAAAAATAGTTAGGAAGAATAATCACAACCATCATAATTATTTACTTGCTTTTGTCAAATTTGAGTTAGAAAATTTTGATTAAATCCTGACGTATAGTCTTCGTGGGAACAATATCCGGACTTAAATATCAACTATACTGCTTGTTACGATATCGTACACTTTCGATATAAAAACCGCGACAATTACCTATAAATAAGATTATTATTTTCATTGTAAAACACGCAATTTGAAAGATATAATTGCAAGACATATTGCTTTCAACCGTTTTTTATTGAATTAATTCTGAACTTATCAAGAATTTAATTCTTGTGGCGTTCAACAATTCAAGTAAGGTTTATAAATTTTGTGATCAAGGGGTCAAGATATTGTACCAATTGTCTTAGTTCTTTGGTTCAATAATTTATTGGGTCAAGCTTTTCTAAACGATGATATTTGGCTTTCTTAAGTTTGATCTAATTTGTCGTGAATTTCGTAGCTATAATTTCTATGTGGGTTCATATCAATTGGTATCAGAGCTTATGTTCCAAAAATTAAAGTTATATCATTTTTTTTTGTTTCAGTCTTCATCTTCGTTCTTCATCTTTTGAGTCATTCAATCCAATTAAAAATGAGAATGTACGATGTCAGATTGAGAAGAAAAATGAGCATTATACTTCTTAAGAAAATAAAGGACGAAAGCATGTTACATTTGAATCGGGGGATTGAGTTTGGGTGCATATGAAAAATGAATGCTTTCCCACTCAAATGAAGTCAAAGTTGCAACCGAGAAGATATGGACCGTTCTAAGTGTTTGAAAAGATCAACGCTAATACCTACAAATTGGCTCTTCCAGGTAAGTATCACATTTCTACCACTTTCAATGTTTCTGATATTTCCTTGTTTGATGTATCTGGTGATTCGAGAACGAATTCTTTTGAAAAGGGGATGGAATGATGAGAACCATGATACGAGATCTAGCAAGGACGATGACATGCTGATTGTGGAGGAAGGACCAATGACTAGATCATGAATAAAGAAGGTCAAAGATGTTACATGATTACTTGTTCAAGCCACAGTGGCTGAAATTTCAATCACAACAAGCAAAATAAAAAGCTTTATATTGGACATGGAAGAAGAAATAAGATGGATAAATTTGGTTTAAGCAACGTAAGAGAGAGCTGAAACAAAGGTCTATGCGACCACGTAGTATAACCATACATGCGGCTGCATATACCTATACCAATATCAAGATGAGGAATGTGGATGGTCTATGCGACCGCAAGTCATAAACCTATGCGGCCGCATAGTATAAACTAGGACGCGTTTTTTTCAAATTTCGCCTAAACTTCTATTTTAGTTCAACAGATGGAACCAACTATTAACGACTGGAAAGAGAATGACTCATAGAATGACTCATTGAACCAACAGATGTTGCATAGAATGACTCATTGAACAACGTTTTTCAAGTGTAATTCTTTACATGTTTTTCAAAGGTTTTGATTCCTTAAAATTATAGGCAATATTTGCATTTAATTTGAAACT